AGATTAAATATTAGCAATAAAACTACTGTTATCTGTGATTATGATCAGTTTCAAATTTTGGAATTCATCTGCATGATCAAAATAGTGGAAACCATTCATTTGGAACATAAGATTATTTAGTACCTGATTTCTACCTCCATTTCTTGTTATATTTTTGCCAAACTCCTTATGCTCTTCAGCGCCCTGTCTCCACACCTTGTTTCTGTTCAACCAGAAATGCTTTTGTTTTTACAACTCCTATATCCTTGCATATCCAGTATGCATATACAGTATTTAGGACTCTTATTTAGAAGTAACAAAATTGAAGTAACTAAAGCAAAACAAATGAGAGAGAAAGATTAGTCATATGGAAACAGTAATGTGTCCTAGAAACCAAGGACAATAATAAAGTTTTGACTCAAGAAGGGACTAATGCCTGTGTTTTGGTTATTTATGGTAGCCATTTATTATTCCTGCTAACAGATTTGCGGGTTAAGAAAGCTCACCTGAATGGTTCTCTTTTGGGGTTTCTTATGTGATTTTAGTCCATTGTTGGCTGATACTATAGCAACCTGAAAGCTCAACTGGGCTGAACATCCAAGATCACTCACTCACATGGCTAGCAGTTGTTGGCTGAAAGCCTACTTGTAATTGTTGCTGAAGCATGTATCCATGGCCTTTCCATGTGACTTAGCTTTCTCAGAGCATAATATGTTGGATGGATTCTAAAAGGGAGCACCCTAAGAATGACTGTTCTAAAAATACAGAAGTGGATTTTGGCTTTTGCTGCCATTGCTTTTGGTGTTTTAGACATGAAGTCTTTGCCCATGCCTATGTCCTGAATGGTACTATCTAGGTTTTCTTCTAGGGTTTTTATGGTATTAGGTCTAACATTTAAGTCTCTAATCCATCTTGAATTAATTTTCGTATAAGGAGTAAGGAAAGGATCCAGTTTCACTTTCCTACTTAGGCTAGACAATTTCCCCCCAGCACCATTTATTAAAATAGGGAATCCTTTCCCCATTTCTTGTTTCTCTCAGGTTTGTCAAAGATCAGATGGCTGTGAGATTGTGGCATTATTTCTGAGGACTCGGTTCTTCCATTGGTTATACTCCGTTTTGGGTACCAGTAGCATGCTGTTTTGTTACTGTAGCCTTGTAGTATAGTGAAGTCAGGTGGCGTAATGCCTCCAGCTTTGTTCTTTTGACTTTAGGATTGTCTTGGAGATGCCGGGTCCCTTTTTTGGTTCCATATGAACTTTAAAGCAGGTTTTTTCCATTCTGTGAAGAAACTCATTGGTACTGATGGGGGATGCATTGAATCTATAAATAACCTTGGGCAATGGCCATTTTCACGATATTGTTCTTCCTATCCATGAGCATGGTATGTTCTTCCATTGTTTTGGTGTCCTCTTTTATTTAAACTAAAGAGCCTCGCACAGCAAAAGAAGAACACATCAGATGTGACCAGGCAACCTACAGAATGGGAGAAAATTTTGCAATCTACTCATCTGACAAAGGGCTAATATCCAGAACCTGTAATAAGAACTCAAAAAATTTACAAGAAAAAAACAAACAACCCCATCAAAAGTGCGGGCAAAGGATATGAACAGACATTTCTCAAAAGAAGACATTCATACAGCCAACAGACACATGAAAACATGCTCATCATCACTGGCCATCAGGAAATGCAAATCAAACCACAGTGAGATACCATCTCACACAGTTAGAATGGCGATCATTAAAAGTCAGGAAACAACAGGTGCTGGAGGAGGATGTGGAAGACATAGGAACACTTTTACACTGTTGGTGGGATTGTAAACTAGTTCAACCATTATGGAAAACAGTATATGGCGATTGCTCAAGGATCTAGAACTAGATGTGCCATACGACCCAGCCATCCCATTACTAGGTATATACCCAAAGGATTATAAATCATGCCTGCTATAAAGACACATGCACACGTATGTTTGTTGCAGCACTATTCACAATAGCAAAGACTTGGAATCAACCAAATGTCCATCAGTGACAACTGGATTAAGAAAATGTGGCACATATACACATGGAATACTATGCAGCCATAAAAAAGGATGAGTTTGTGTCCTTTGTAGGGACATGATGCAGCTGGAAACCATCATTCTTAGCAAACTATCACAAGAACAGAAAAACCAACACCGCATGTTCTCACTCATAGGGTGGGAACTGAAACAATGAGATCACCTGGACCTCGGAAGGGGAACATCACACACCGGCCTATCATGGGGAGGGGGGAGGGGGGAGAGATTGCATGGGAGTTATAGCTGATGTAAATGACGAGTTGATGCGTGCGACGAGTTGATGGGTGCAGCACACCAACAAGGCACAAGTATACATATGTAACAAACTGCACATTATGCACATGGTACCCTAGAACTTAAAGTTAATAATAATAATTAATAAAAAAGAAAAAAAAAAATACAGAAGTGGAAGCTACCAGGCCACTTAAGACTTTTGCCATAACTGGCACTTGGACTATATTCATTGGTCAAAGCAGTCAAAGAGTCAACCAGATTTAAGAGCTGAAGAAATAAACGTCACCTCTTGATGAGGGAGTGGTTAAGGAGCATGACTGTGGGCGCTATTATTGCCACCCTCTTTTCGAAAATGCTATCTACAGTCTGAGCGCGGTGGCTCCACATTGTAATCCTAGCACTTTGGGAAGCTGAGGCAGGTGGATCACCTGGAGTGTGAGGCATTTAGATCAGCCTGACCAACATGGTAAAACCCCGTCCTACTAAAAAGTAATAAAAATTAGCTGGGCATGGTGTGGGGCACCTGTAATCGCAGCTACTTGGGAGGCTGAGGCAGGAGATCATTTGAACCCAGAGGCAGAGGTTGCAGTGAGCCAAGATAGTGCCATTGCCACTCCAGCCTGGGTGACAGACCGATGCTCATCTTAAAAAAAAAAAAAAAACAAAAAAAAAACCAGACTGCAGCCTGCTATTGGAAACTATCAATATTTTTGTTACCACCTTACTCCCTATGCATCTACTTCTTTCTTCTCTCTCTGTGCATGGACCTTTGCTCTTCCTCAATCCACTCTGCAAACTAGGGATTTCAGAAGCGCAATTTGTTAGCATATGTGACACAATTCCAAGCACTCACAGTTTGACCAGACTTTCTTCTGTCAATTCTAATTTTCTGAGAGAAATTCTGATGATTCTCTCTTGACACAAGCATTTTCCACATTCTGATCACCCATAACATGGAGTTGTCCAGAATTATGTGACCCAGACATGGTTGTTATTGGCCCATCTTTTTGAGGAGGATTAACATTTCCAGGATGAAAGGCCCTGGTCATAACCCCTCTAAAGCATCTGTTACTCCCAGCAATGCTTACTAATTGTTCAAAGTTCTACTTTAACATCAACTCCCTTGTGACATCCTCCATCCGAGCATTACTCCACCCTACATACTTCTATCAAATTTTATAGATTCTGTGATGTTCCTTGCTCTATAAATAATGTCATGCACCTAGATGGATCCCTACTCCCAGATTCTAGGTTCCCAGAATGTATCAATATTTCTCACACAAGGTAGTTGTTCAACCAAAGAAGATCATGTATATGGTAATAAAATAAGATACATTTATATGAGTATTCTCTCATTTGTTTTAAGGCAGAATTCTAACCATTTAGGTAATTCATAATTAATTTGCCTATATAATTGTTAGGATTAATATTCTAAGGAATAATATTAAGTTAGATATGTGAATTTATAACCTTGCATAAACAGCTCCTTAACCACTTAGCCCATTTTCTTGGTATAATTCTCATTACTCAGTTCAGGGCTATAGTTCTCTCTGGAAACTGCTAAGCAAAACTGATGTTATCTTCTAATGATATGTATCAGAATTTACTCCAATTGGTGTAAATTCACTTACACTAATGTGCATTATACAAAATGATCCACATGATAATGTTATGGGCACTCTGGTATAACTTAGTTTCTTCTCTAAATTATAATAATCTAATAATAACTGAATTTTAAATTAGAATGACTTGACCACTAGCTGATTTTTATGAATTTGACAGAAATAAATAAATGTATTGTTTTGGTATCCACATGCTGCAGAGATCCATGCCTATAACTGGCTCAGAAATTCGTATGTTAAATGCAGAATATACTTTACAGTAGAACTTGCTGAAAAATGTCTTTATTAAATATATAAATATTGAAATGTTTTATAGTTATCTAAAATTCAAAATCAGTATCTGCAGGAAGTCATCAAATATCTATCAGACAAATAACAATACCCATTTGGGGCATTTAACTTCCGTTTATTAAATTCATAGCTTCCCTGAAATTTAACTGAAATATGGCACATGGTGACTGACTAAACAACACTAAGGCCAGGCACGGTGGCTCACGCCCATAATCACAGCACTGTGGGAGGCTGAGACAGGAGAATTGCTTAAGGCCGGGATTTTGAGACAAGCCTGGGTCACCTAGCAAGACCCTGCCTGTACAATGAAATAAAATAAAATACAAAGAACGTGATTAAGGAGTATTTTCCACATGCAATTTTCTCATTATATCTCATCCCTGTCACAGTTAGCTGAATCTTACAGGTTAACATCTTGTCTTTGGTCAGATTTGAGTGTAACTTCAAAGATAAAACATATCAGTTCTACATATAAGATATAAATTGCCTATTGAAAATGATATCTGAAATAGTTGTTATTGACTCAAAATGATTATTGCTTTTCTCATAATAATCCCCTAGGGAAGAAATGAATCATTTCACTTTTGGTAATTTATGAAAGTAAAAAATATTTACGATAATTCCATTTAGGTGATCCACCTGCCTCGGCCTCCCAGAGTGCTAGGATTACAGGCGTGAACCACCACTCTTGGCCAATTTATGGTTGCTTTAAAGGAAGCTACATGGTAGTGATGGTTTGGGAGAGTTTCTGAATTTCGTCTTCTTGGAAAGTTATTCTTTGTAGAGCATGTTAACTAATAATGCTATCCTCCCAACAGAAAATCCAATCTGATTTGACAAGTCATGAGATCAGTTTAGAAGAAATGAAGAAACACAACCAGGGGAAGGAGGCTGCCCAAAGAGTCCTGTCTCAGATTGATGTTGCACAGGTATATTTCATTTCCAAAACTAAGGAACATGTTTTTGTTTGGCATTATAACATAATCCAGTCTATATTAGACAACTTGATTATTGGCAAGATTGGATTTGAGGACATTATTTGAAAACTACAATTTGATGTCTAAACAATGAGTTTTTTGCTTTCTACATTTTAAAGATAAAATAGGTTAATTAATTACCTTTTATTTATTATAACATTAAGAAAAAACTGCTGAATTATTCTCCCAAATGTAGGTTTTCTCATGTTGGATGAATGGAAAAATATTGCTTTATTTTGTTTTTATTTTTCTGTATATCTTCAGAAATAAAGGCAAAACTATTAATAAAAATGTGACCAGTTATTGTTTGAAAGGCAAAATTAAATCAGTGCCCTGTTACACTGTCCTTACAGAAAAAATTGCAAGATGTCTCCATGAAGTTTCGATTATTTCAGAAGCCAGCCAATTTTGAGCAGCGTCTACAAGAAAGTAAGATGATTTTAGATGAAGTGAAGATGCACTTGCCTGCGTTGGAAACCAAGAGTGTGGAACAGGAAGTAGTACAGTCACAGTTAAATCATTGTGTGGTATGTATTTCTGTTGGCAAATATGCAGGTACCCCTTGACTTTCCTCATTAAGAAGTATCTGCTCTTTTATAAGAAAAAATTGTTTTCAGATAACCATAATAATTATACTATATAATTTTAAGATTGAGAACAAAAATTGGCACATGTATTGTGGCCTATTCTGTGTTTCTTTTTTGAATCTATAATTCTCCTAAGAACTGTGCAGAATATAAAAAGATGTTGCTTGTGTTTAATTTGTATGATTCTTTAAATATATTTTAAATGGAAATCTAGAAAGGAAATATATTAATGTAAAAATAGTAACAACAGTACTTGTAATAATCCTAACAACTGCATAAATAATGGATGCCAAGTAAGCTAAATGGCATACAGAAGCCACCTTTAATTCTTAAGGCTGATTACCTTAGAGAATTTAAGGACAAACAGCTGGTGAATGGCAAAGCAAGATTTCAATTCAGGTACTCTTATTCCAAACCTTAATAACTTTCCTTTAAACACCAGTACTGGATATACGCTGAAATGCCACAAGACAACACAGAATTAAAAGGCATGGAAAGGTACAAATAGCTTATAGCATAAATCTGATTTAAACTTTGTAATATTGAGCGGTGTCCTATGTTGCTATTATTGGAAGTTGACCAACTAAGATGATTCCTCTGAAAATATAAAGCTGAGGTATGATTGCATCTACTAGAGTAACATAAGTATTATTATAACTCTACATGTACTATCGACCACTAGAGTAGAAAGTTGCATAAAATGAAAACATAGAATGTTGTTAACATTAAAGAGAAAACTAGTCTATTTAGTACTTGGTATTTTAAATAGTGTTTCTACATCTACTCCATAATATCAATGAAAAACAGATTACTTCAGATACATTGTAGTCATATCATCATGACTGGGAAAATATTTTTCTTTTTAACAAATATCTTAAATACATGTTCGTGAAAAATATGAGGTATTCTTATTCAATAATATATTTTCATAACTCAAGCTTCATTTTTTTGTGATATAATTATGTTAATTATTCTCACCCCCAGAAAGAAACTTGGATTAGAAATGATAGAAAGTAGTTAATTGATATTAGATGAATAAGAATAGGAATATATGGGAACATATCCCATCTTAAATTTTGCAAAAAAAAAAAAAAAACCACATAAATGACCCAAGTACATTATTCATGACTAATATTTGCAAAGTGAGCACTTTTGATTCTTTTCTAGAAACAGATCTCTAATGTTACCTTATAAAATATATCTACCAGTAAATATGAGCTGAGAACAATCTCACCTGTGTCCAGCTATGACTGTGCCCTGTGTCAGTATGAAGGAAACTGCTCAAGGCACTTGCTGAATTGGCTTCTGGTTCTGGTTTAAATGTCAGGACCAATTCAAGCAGTTTTTTCACAAGAATATCCTTACACTGTTTAGTGTTTTCATTATTTAAGATGCTTTGTGGTATATACCATAATCATAGTCTTGCCTTCAAGAAATGTTTGTCTATTTATAAAAGTCTTACTGGCATGAACACAAATATAAATAATACTTCTCCTCTTTGTTTATAAATATTTTATTTGCCTATTGAATGAAATGATGTTAATGGCTAACAGTACCTTGAGGGAACTGTCATCATCAAAATAAAGCATTTAGATTTTTTTGAAGTTCAGAGAGTAAATAATTTAGAAAAATCTCTGATTCCAAATTAGCATAGTTGATTTTCAACATAATAATTAATTTCCGTGTTTCCAGATACACAGATATTTTTATATCTTCTAAGACAAGAGTAAAATGAAATAAAAAATATCATCTGGAAAGCTCAGACAAAAATCATAATTATTAGTAATAAAGGAATGTTAACATCAGTTGCCGAAGAGAGGATTAATATGGAAATAGGCATGTGACAATCAGATAATTGCCCAGACTTTACAAAATGTTTTGTTTTAGACCTTACTTTTAAACTGAAAAAAAAATAATAATAATAAATAAGCCTGATTTTTGTTCTAATTGCATAAAAACAATTACCTACTAGCAAGTTTATTTTTTGGTAATACTAAAATAAGTACTGATAGTTTAGATTTATGACTAAACAAATTAAAGCAGAGATACATAATGTAAACTATTATATATATATGTATACATATATACACACACATATATATTTGAATACATGGACATACACATACAAACACATATATTTCTAGGAAAATAGTTACAAAGCAAAATTAAGACATCAAGTGGTGTTGGAGTGGTGTTGGTGGTATAATTGTGCACATAGCTGTCTTCCAAAGTTATGACACTTGTCTTATGATGCTTTTTTTGTAGCAACCTATTTTTGTGAAACAGTATGCGTGTGCTTTATAGTTGTGATGTACATGTGAATTGTAAATAATATTTTTATGTCTGTTTATATTTTTCATCAGCCCTTCGAAGAAAACAAATTTGACTAATTCAATTAACATTGAAAATGACCTCACTTTGTTATATATGATACAATATGTATTAAAATTATGATCTAGAAATTTAGTTGTTTTACCTTACTAATATGTAAGTACCATGAAAACAGCAGCGAATGTGTGCGTTTTGGCCACCACTGACTTCCCAGTGATTCAGATACTATCTGGTTCATAGTAACCACTCAATAAATACCCGATGAATGAGTGAATTAATTCATCCAAATTTATGGCTAGAATTATATAACTCCAACATTTAAAATAGAAGTCATGTAAAATTCAGAATTGACATTTATGTTCATTGAAGAACTGAATACATATATATATGTATCTCACAAGACACACATATATGATTAACTCTCAGTTTAATAAGAATAGCTGCAAATTACACGTATCTGCATGTGTGTAGACAATTAAAAATAGAAATATTAAATCAACAGAAAATGCAAAAGCTAGATATTGACCACTGCTACAAAATGGTACTCTATTAAAATTGTAAGCATGGACTAGCAATTAAGGGAATCTCTATTTCTTTCTGTTAATAATATTATGAAGTACTTTAACTCTACTGATTATTATGTTTTGTTTTATGTTTAAACTTAGAACTTGTATAAAAGTCTGAGTGAAGTGAAGTCTGAAGTGGAAATGGTGATAAAGACTGGACGTCAGATTGTACAGAAAAAGCAGACGGAAAATCCCAAAGAACTCGATGAAAGAGTAACAGCTTTGAAACTGCATTATAATGAGCTGGGAGCAAAGGTGTGTGCATGCTGAGACCACAAACACTTCTTTCCACTTTCCTTATAAATTGTAAAGCAAGGGGAAGTAAATTATGTATGTTTAGAGTCTTAGAAATTCTAAACAACTCTCTCTCCCTCTCTCTCTCTCTATATATGTATATACACACACACACACAGACACACAAAGATGAACATATACACATATTTCCATGTGGAATTCTCGTTAAGAAACAATAATTAATCATTGAGGCTCTGCGGCTCTGCTTTTTCAGATTGAAAAATATGTAACGTTCAGGGAGGTTTTTCCTGCTCCATGAGATAGTTATAAAAGGGTGTTTTTATTCTAATTGCTCCTTATTTTCATTATATAAATCTACTTGTGATGACTTGAAGACTGGTAAATATTATAAACAGTATCGATTTATATGTAGGTCTAATGTAGTTAACATATTCTACATAGGCCACATTAAGTATAAAAATTACACAGTAATTATTTCCCCATATGGCCAAGACTTGCAAAATCTATCACACTTGGCTAATAAGATAGCATGGATAGCCAGTTAAGACCTATGGCTCTGTAATTATTTTTGTATCATTGTCCTGATCAGAGTCTCATGATCCCACTCCATCTCACTGTTAATTCAAGATGCCTACATCTCCTCTTTCCAAAACTGTGGGATGTCTAGGATAGTTATCTCACTTCGCTCAACTCAAATATTCTGTATAGATTTAGAGCTTTGATAGTTTAAAATTATGATAGTAAGTAGTCTCTTCACTCTGTTGATTGTTTCTTTTGCTGAGAAGAAGCTTTTTAGTTTGTTGCAATAACAGTCATCTAGTTTTCCTCTTGTTGCCTGTGCTTTGGGAGTCAGATAAAAAAAAAAAATGTTTGACCAGACCACTATCAGGAAGCTTTTACCTGTTTTCTTCAAATCATTTTACAGGTTCAGGTTTTAAGTCTTCAGTCCATTTTGAATTGGTTTTTTATATGGTGTGAGATAAATGTCCAATTGCATTCTCCTGCATTTGGATATCTAATTTCTCAGAACCATTTATCGAAGATCATGTCCTTTTTTCATTGTGTGTTCTTAGCAGTTTGGTTGATCAGTTGATCATAAATATGTGGATTTATTTTGTGGCTCTCTGTTCTGTTCCTTTGGTCTGTATGTCTGTTTTTATACCACTATCCTGCTCTTTTAATTACTAGAGCATTATAGAATACTTTTGAATCAGGTAATTATGATACCTCCAGTTTTGTTCTTTTGGCTTAAGATTGCTTTGGCTATTCTGGGTCTTTTGTTGTTCAAAGTGAAATTTAGGATTGTTTCTTTTACATCTGCCAAAAATGTCACTGGAATTTTAATAGGGGTTGCATCGAGTCTGTAAATTGCTTTGAGTGGTACAGACATCTTAACAATATTATTTATTCCAACCCGTGAATATAGGATGTCTTTCCATAAACGGATATCTTACTATTTCCAAAAATGGACTTCTAACATTTTAATTTCATTCTGACTGAAAGAACTGAATTTCATGGAGGATAAAAAGTTACATTTTTACAAGTCAGGCTCTCAACTTTAGTGAATAGAACAGCATCACTGATAAAATTGTCTGTCACCTCATCTTAGACAGAAATACAAATGTCCATGTTTTAGAAATAGCTAAGGAGAGGCATATTTCTTGTATCTCACCCTGAAAGTAGATTGAAGGTTATATCTTGAAGATATTAATTGCAAATTCCTTATCATAGAAAATAAATTTTAGAATTAAATTGAAATCTGAAAATAACCATTTTTGTTAGTTGATAGTCTTGTTTTTATATTTTAAAAACCCTCTAATTTATATTTGGTATGTTTTAAACAAGTTTGTTGCCATCCTATAACAAAAGATTCTCCTACTTTGTTACAAAATAAGGAAACAAATTAAGGAACACTGATACTCAATTGATGGGAAAGCATTATGATAATCTTGAAATAAAATACATTTCAACTGCTTGTTTGGTCTACTGGGGTACCTTTGGAATGAGATACCTTTGTATCCTCTAGAGATATGTATCATTGTTTTAAAGATCACCACAGAGAGAAAAGTTGTATCTGCACTGGATATCTCATTCCAGTGCTTATCAATTTTTATAGATGCCAATTATTTCATATTTAACATCAATTATGAAGGGCTGAATAATCTCTAGTCTCAAATGTATTGGAGATTGGGTAATCTCTAATATCCTAATGCTACAGCTTCAGTTCTGGAAACATATTCTTTTTATAATTATAAATTATAAATTTTTAAATTAATAAAATAAATGTATGTTATCATTATAAATTACAAATTTTCAGTTTATAATTTGGCCTGTGTGACTTTATACTAAAATAATGTATGGATGAATATTTTTTAAATTAAGAAAATACACATTTTGGTAAAGGGGAGTTTCTCAGTTTACTTTTTAAAATAGAGTTGTGTGTGGACTTTTTATTTGTCAAGGGAATTTTTACAAAATCATTGCAAGAGTAAATTTAGCATAAAATAACAGGCTAAATCAATTAGAATTTAAAACAATAAAAGTGACATTAGATGAATAATAGTGCCCTGAGTTGATTATTATTCAGAAATGAATGATTCTCATAATGATATAAAACCCTATTTATTCCTGAAATACATATTTGAGAGCTTGTGTTTCTTCTAACCATTTGCCACATAGTAGTATCCTTAAAGCAAAATAAAAGTGTATGAAGAAATCATAATATCACAGAAAACAGCAAAAACATAGGCCAAAAATTTGTTTTTGAAGTAAATATTGATTTAGAAACATTTATGACTGAGGGATCATGTATAAATACCATCTTATAAAAATGCTGTAAGTCCTGTATTCTTTGGCTGAGAGTAAAAATATTGTCTGCATTTTGACTCAAAATATTTTCAACAGCAGTAGCTTTGTCTGATAAAAGCAAAGGCAACAAAGGGAATTTTATTACATTATTCTTTTTATATAAGAAGGAACCCTTCTGTTTTAATCATCTTCAGAATTTATATGGTTCTGTCTGCCTCAATTCAGTATGCATTACCTTTTTGGAGTAATCAACTCCAGCTGCCATAAAAAAATAAAATAAACCTGATGGCTTAAACAACACAAATTGATTTCTCCAAGTTCTGGAGTCTGGGAGTGCAAGATCAAGGGGCTGGTCCATTTGATTCCTGAAGAGTAATTTCTTCTTGTCTTACATTTTCACTGTATTCTTATATGGTGATGAGTGGGGAGAGGAATATAATTTATTAAGAGATATTAAACCTGGTACCATTGATGTAATAATACCTATAATCCCTTTTTATTTCTCTATGCTCTGATTTTTATGGAAATATACATAAATAGCAATACTAATATCATCCCGTAAATACATTGTTAACTTCCTGAAACAATGACTACTAAAACATTTTACTGCAGGTGGCATTCTGTTAAATGTATCCATTCCCCGCATACACACACAAAGTATAAAACTCAATTTTCCTTAAGATGGCAGTGTTTCCTGTTTTTTAAAAATGTATTTAGCTGGAAATAAACAAAATGAAATAAATAAAAATCAATAATGCATTAGCTCTGGGAAGATAGAATTTCTTTGAAATATTGAATCTGGAATCATTTTTCTACCAGTAGTGCATAGGAAAAAATATGCATAGAAACACACTGTAAGGTATATTTTCTCCCACCCACCCCCCATGCACCCTTACAACACAAATAAAATTCTTGCAGTCGAAAGGGCAGATGCTTTTACTTAGGAAAAAACATCACACACCGGGGCCTATCATGGGGAGGGGGGAGGGGAGAGGGATTGCATTGGGAGTTATACCTGATGTAAATGACGAGTTGATGGGTGCTGACGAGTTGATGGGTGCAGCACACCAACATGGCACAAGTATACATATGTAACAAACCTGCATGTTATGCACATGTACCCTAGAACTTAAAGTATAATAATACTAATAAATAAAAGAAGAAAAAAAATAGAAGGGAAAATCTGTTTTAAATAAATGAATTTACAGCCTCAGCAACTAAATGTTTTCTAAATGTACACACACCTCTCCTAAAGAAAATAATAAATTTTGTTATTTGGAATTGGAATTGTTATCAGGGTTCCAGAATATTTATTTTGATTGTAGCATTTTAGATGCTTTATACATATTTTCATCTTTGGTGTTTTTCTTGCTTATAGCTAGATTCTTGTTTCGGTTACGCGCACATACACACACACACACACATATATATATTTGTATGTATATATGACTGATATATATATATATATATATTTGTGTATATATATGTATCAGTCAGTGGTACCTATTATGCCTAGGGCATGATGCACAAATGCTGGTGGTGGTATTTTAACCAATTCCATTACAATTGAAATTAGTCTGGACTCTACCTTTCAGATCTCTTGGAAACAAATGCCAAATCTTGTCCGTGTTTTATTTACCTGTAAGGTAGTAAAATAGATGTAAATAAAGCTTTTGCTCTGTACATTCAGGCACAGTTTTTTATTGAACCATCCCTAAAGGTAAATAAGGAGAATAAAGGAAGGGATTGAGGTCTTACAATATGTCAAGCTCTCTCAAAATGTTGTCTGGTTTTACCCTCAGAATATTCCTATGTTCTATTAATAAGTATATAATCCCATTTGATAGATGTGTTAACAGAGTAAAATGAGGTGTTCTGCCAAAAATCATACTCAAGTTGTGAGTCCACTAGGTATTGCAGAGCCTCACATACTTATATTCCATCATGCTGTTTCTGCAGAGTCAAATATTTATATCTACTGTTCAGATTCCCAGTCTTCATGACAGAAAAGGGTTTAAAAAAAAAAACAAATATATATATAAAATATATATAGTGAAAACACATAACAACAACAACAAAAACAAACAAGCAAAAGCACCAGGAGCAACTTTTAGGAGTTTAAACTCTTTATGTGTAAATTCTACCAGTTATAACTTATAATTAATGATTTGCAAGTCTTCATTCTTTCCTTTATTCCACATATAAAGCATATTTAGCAAATCCTTTCTTTGTTCAAGGAACTTTCAGGGGTATAGGGGAGTAATCTAAAGATGTGTGAGGCAAGAAGATTTGCCTTTAAGAAATTGTAATTTACCTGGCTTTTGTTGATGATTTGACTGCATTTAGTAGAAAGAGATGCTGGGCTTTTTATTAAACCAACCAACTGAAAATATTAACAAAATATAGGCACATCTGACAAGGTGGTAGAGAAATACAAATTTGTTTATTTCTTATGTGAGAATATGGATAATTTGCTTTTGAGGTCTTGGTATCAAACACTGAGAACAGGAGTACAGGATCAAGTCATGAGTTTTTCTATTAATGGGGATGAATATTGACTTCGCATTCATCTTTTTGTTCCTATTGGATGGCAAAATTGTGTTTAAGGAGGAAGTCACCTATTCACTGTATTGTTTTTGAGCAGATGTAAGACACTTTAAAGATGCAATGAGGATACAATTGATAATTCTAGGTATTACACAAATACTTTTACCTTTTGAGAGAATAAATCTTCTGTCTTCATTTCGGTTCCTTACCAGCATGAGCAAGCCTCATTTATATATAGAGGATCGTAAACCTTCTTGCCATATTGTTGACAAATGACAGTAAGTTTTCAGTGAGAAATGAGTTTTATCTTCAGTTTGACTTGTATCATTTTATTTATCATAAACTTTGGCCATAAATTATCTTATATTAGAGAAAAATTCTTATAGCTTTCTTTTCTACCATGACAACATACAAGACCCTCTCTTTTGGACAGACGATCTCATCTGCCCTAGACAATTTTTATTCACTCTGAATATTCAGAATATATGATTTTATAAAATATTATTTTAAAACCTGTAAGAAAATAGTTATTTTAAATAAAAGACATATAAAAGTTCCAAATAAGTGGTTATAACTAAATTTGAATTACAGAGTAAACCAAATTACATTTTATTATACTTCTTTTCAGGTAACAGAAAGAAAGCAACAGTTGGAGAAATGCTTAAAACTGTCCCGTAAGATGCGAAAGGAAATGAATGTCTTGACAGAATGGCTGGCAGCTACAGATATGGAATTGACAAAGAGATCAGCAGTTGAAGGAATGCCTAGTAATTTGGATTCTGAAGTTGCCTGGGGAAAGGTAAAACCTATATCACCGAAGGTTATTTTGAACGTGCGTGAAAACACATAGTAATATGATTTTGTAAGGAAGTATTAACATGTAGCAATAATAGCATTATAAATATTGTTTCATTTTCCCTTTCTTAAAAATTCATCTGTGCTTTTCAGGACCATGATAAAACCAATGGTAAGCTTTAGCAAGAGTCTCTCCAAATCTTCCTTAGAGTTCAGTAAATTATGAGTAAGACCTTAAAAAATACATAGGTCATTAGTCTGAAAATTGGTCCAGAGATGAGATCCTATAACATACTGGCTTGCCTAAGACGATACTGCCCAAATGAATCCCACAGTCATGAAGAGGACAAGGACACAGAGATTGAAGATAGTTGGGCTAGACAGGACTTGCAAGATTAGCATATTGCCAAAGCCACATTTCAGAAAGAATCTTGAGGTGTCTATGCAGGGGCTATCATTCCCATCACCAAATGACAGAGGGGCTCCTGTAATTGTTAGCTGTTAAATTCTTGCCCTTTCTCTGATGGCCAGTCATTTCATGCTGCTTAGAACTTAAGTGAAGAGACTCACAGCTTAATACTTTTTTTACAGTTTATTCATTACCAGATTACTTGAAAGTGTGTTGATATAAAGAAAATAGCTGATACTGATAACATGTTTTACCTCAAAATTTGCCAATGTGTTAGGCCATTTACACCCACTTGATATTTTAAAGTTACCAAATTAACTAGATGTATAAGAAGTTTGTGATTTATTTTTAATTCAATGTGGCTATCCAGATGATTCAAAGTTGGGAAATTTTCAGTACATTATGTAAAAACTTACAATCATATAAATGAGACCCAAACTGAAAACCGTCTTTATGTAGATTCAGAGAACAAGTAGTAATATATTTTGTTCCATAAAATATTTTCACATAAATAATAGTGAATTAAATTGTTTTTCTTCTCTTTCAGAATAAATTTAATGTTAGATAAGATGTTGAATTATAGTTATTCAGGATCGTATATGAGATTACTGTAGCAAGAAAAAGTATATACAGGTTAAAACTCACATTAGCCTTATTTTTTCTTATCATTCAAGCATATTACTTGAGGTACTTTTGCATTAGCCTCCCCATGAAATCATTCAAATATTATAAGGTAATGAACTTTGCAAAGGTTTCTAGGTTATCCTTGTCATATAGAAGGCTTGAATAGTCTGGAGAATTGTCTGCTTGTTGAATCTACCTGGAAAATATTTTTCATAAAGTCAAGGAGCAGAGCTAATTTGAGATCTAGTAAAAAAAACAAAGCTTAGAAAGCTGGAATTTATTTTCTTTCTTTGTAGAATAAAGATAATTTATCACTCTATCTAGATCTTTTGAAACACTAAGCTGTTAATGACATACTCTAAAATCTCTTACTTGTCATATAAAAAGTATATTCATTTGCATCTAAATTACAGAACTTTTTTTTTTTTTACCAATTTATTTGGAAGGTGCTCATTATTTCTTTAAAAATAATAAACATAAAAAGATACGCCCTGCAGATCTAAGTCAGTCACATTTATGATAATCATTCTAATAATTTAGCATAAAATTCAAACTCTCACATATGAAACCCCATGACTATTGAGTACATTCTCATTTCTCATGGTTTCTTGTTAGGTGGAGAGCTTGATTCAAGCTATAAGTTTCAATTGCTGTTTCAAAAGATAAATGTAAAATTTTAAAAAACTAAAAAATTAAATTCTTTTTTTTTTTTTTTTTTTTGAGACAGAGTCGCTCTGTCGCCCAGACTGGAGTGCAGTGGCCAGATCTCAGCTCACTGCAAGCTCCGCCTCCCAGTTTTATGCCATTCTCCTGCCTCAGCCTCCTGAGTAGCTGGGACTACAGGCGTCCGCCACCTCGCCCGGCTAGTTTTTTGTATTTTTTAGTGGAGACGAGGTTTCACCATGTTAGCCAGGATGGTCTCGATCTCCTGACCTCGTGATCCGCCCGTCTCGGCCTCCCAAAGTGCTGGGATTACAGGCTTGAGCCACCACGCCCAGCCCAAATTAAATTCATTTAAATGCAATACATTAAACGTAGTTGCCAGTCGTTCCAAGTATTTGGAATGTGACTGCAGAAAGTTGAATATATAGAGTCAATTTCTTTTTTATTATTTTTTTAAAATTTTAGACAATTTAATTTATATCTGCTGAATTTCTCTCAGTTTCATTGACCTAAGAACATTATTTTTGTATGAAGATATTTGAACATCTAGTTTCAAATATTCAAATACATAAAAATGTCAATTACTCATGAAGTGATTATTTGACCTTTAGTTTATCCAAACAAAGCATAATTTCAAGTACATTGACTATAGCTAAATATTATCAGTTTTATCTTAAAGTATCTGAATTATATTTAATATAAAATTCCAGAAAAATTATTTAGGGTGACTTAAAGAGATACATATGGCACAAGTTGACAAGCCTAAATAAATTGGAAAACTAGGAAAAGGAAAATTATAGTAGATAAATAATAAAAAAAAAAGTGCATAGAAATATATCCACAATGTCTCATGGGTGGTGGAATGGACAGGGAACAATAAAGTCACAAATTGACACCAAACTTCCTAACAGACAAAACCAAGAGGTAAACATATTTATGAGACCCAAAGTTTCTAAATTATTAAAATAATAATTAAAATAATTTTAACTTTACTAGTAGTATGTTAGCTTTTTGCTAGAACTTAGTGCCAGAAGAAAATAAATGGGAGGGTCATAAAGGTGATAACAAGCTGATTAATATTCTTATAATAAACAATAAGAATGTTTATTTTTTTTCTACCAACATGGCTCCATGCAATAGAAAACTTTAGTGCTAAAGGGCCATTCAGGAAAAGCAATTCTATCAGAGGAAAAAATATTGGAGCAGAAGTCTAAAGTACTCTAGCAATTGTTTTCAGATTCTTAGATTCTCTATTTTATTAATTTTTAGTTTTGTATGGATACATAGTAGGTGTATATATTTACGAATTACATGAGATTTTAATACAGGTATGCAATATGTAATTATCACATCATGTAACCTTTCGTGAATATGCTTTCCTGCAACTGAGCTTTTAAGTAGAATTAGGCATCAGAGATTTGAAAGTTATTTTCTCTGAATACAGAAAAAAATGTTTCTGTATCTTTTTCCTGGAAAGAAGCCAGATTGTTTCTAGCTGATAACACATTTGTATACTTGGCCCTATATGTAATTGGAAAGCAGGGTTTCATATTCATGTGTATGTCATAGTACTAGAAGGCTTCAATAGCTAAAAATTTTTGCTAACATAGAGTTTTGTGTTTGAACCAGTCACAGAGAAATTGGCTATTGAGCCTTTTCGTGCCAAGCATAATTGAAGAAAGAAAACTCACCATCAACAACTCAAAATATGTTGACTTCTCTAGGAACCTGTATCAATCTCTCAGTGAATAGATTTATTTGAAAACACAGTTGGGCTATTACTTTAGCTATAAAAGCTATTGAAAATAAAGCTCAGTAGTACTCTCTTGATGATGGCAATCAAAAGGTGAAGTGAGAATGTTTTATAGGGGGCATGAAGTATCAAGTACTGAGTGTGATGAAAATTAATGTAGTGGTCAATGATAATACTTAGTCTAAATGTACTAGTTTTTCCTATGATTTGAGAAAACTAGAATTCACTTTTCAAGATCAAAATTACCAAAGGATTTGGAGATATTGCTCCAGTTGGAGAATCAGAACTCACCTTAAAAACAATATAGATTTTACTAATCTATAGTAGTATAGATTTCATAAAGTCTTCATGTGACACAAAAGTTTTAGGGTTTTGGTTTTTAACTAACCATGTTATATAATTGAGAAATTTTCCTATCCTAAATTAGAAAACTGTAAGGATATTTAAAGTTCAATTCAGTTTTTCTTACATCACAAAGCTGAGAAAAATGAATCTAACGTTAAAATCAGATAATCAGTCTAGTCTTCCATGGTCTGGTTTATTGTATTCGTGTCACCAATGCTGTTTATCAGAAATCCCTGTCATATCAAATCAAGCCCTTCCACAATGATCTAACACTTGAGTTTTTATGAGAAAAAAAAAATAACTGGATTCTCTATACTCATTTCACCTCCTTACTGTGGCTGTGGGCAGGCCCCAGATGCATTGTCTATAATATAAACTATGTTGGTGACCACCAAAGCAGTCAGGCATTCTTGCTGTTTCTCCATTTCCTACTAGTTTGTGTTATTTAATTAATTTAATAATATTTCATCACCTATATATGGAGCCATAGTCCATGTGAAAGCAGTTTTCCAGTACCACGGAAATTCTAAATAAGCTCCCATCAGAGCTATCATTTAGGCCTACCATAAAATACATAGAATTAATAAGTCAGCCGCATGCACCTTCAGAGCAGTATTACTAGCATTGAGATGAATTATTCCAACTTGTAGGGAAACCAAATAGATACTGAAAGGAAGAGTTTATTCTTATTTATTTATTTTGAGATGGAGTCTTGCTCTTGTTGCCCAGACTGGAGTGAAATGGCCCGATCTCGGTTCACTGCAACCTCCGCCTCCCAGGTTCAAGCGATTCTCCTGCCCCAGCCTCCTGGGTAGCTTGGATTACAGACACCCGCCACCATGCCCTGCTAATTTTTTGTATTTTCAGAAGAGGCGGGGTTTCACCATTTTGGTCAGGCTGGTCTCAAACTCCTGACCTCAGGTCATCCACCTGCCTCAGCCTCCCAAAGTGCTGGGATTACAGATGTGAGTCACCGCACCCGGCCAGGAGTTTCTTATACTGGCCAAAATATCAGTTATGTTCTTTATAAACTGGGCATAGGCTTAGGGGGGCAATTCACCATTTATTTTCTAATGTTGTCCCCTTTAAAAAGGAAGGGGAAGGTTGCTTAAAATGTTGAAAGAGGTGTTATAAAAGTCAAGCTTCTTGAGAAATATAGTAAAATTGGAAACACCTTAAATGTTGCAGGGTGATACCATTTACAAAAAGG